TAATATATCTATGGAAACTATCGCTATCAGCACTATCACCCTCCAATTAGTTAAAGAAAAAGAGTTTAACAAAAATAGTAAAAGCAAAGGGAGTTGAACTTAGATAATCTCATTTCATATTCATGGAATGACGTGATTAATAAAAACTAATTAATGCAGGCATGGAGTTTTTCAGCTACTGAGTGGGTGGGCTGATGGACCCGAATTTGCGACCCAGTGCCCGATCCGACCCGGACATAGCTACACCTACAAGTTTAACGTAACGGGTCAAGAAGGGACTCTTTGGTGGCATGCACATGTTTCATGGCTTAGAGCCACGGTTCATGGTGCACTCATTATTCGACCCAAAAAAGGAAACTCTTATCATTTCCCTAAACCTTACAGAGAAGTCCCTATCCTCTTAGGTAATTTCACCTTCTTCAAATTAATTCTTCAATTTCTTAGTATTTTATAGAAATATGAGACTAGAAATATTTATAACTATGAGTTTACAATTTCTTTTTGTTTAAAAGTACTTCATTTGGAATAAAGTTGAAAAATGATATTTGGAATTTGAAATTATATTTGAACATGCATTTCACTTTTTGAAAAGATATTGTAGTTTTGTGAGTGGGAAAAAATAGTTTTTCCGAAATTCTTTTTTTTTTTTGAAAAACTAATTTCCAAAAAATCTCCAAAAACATACAAAATTTTATGGACAAACGAGTCCTTAGTAATTCTTTTGTTCCACTTTATGTGATGCAATTACCATTTGGAGTGTCAAAGAAATTTTTCTTTGACCACTTATTTTTGTATCGGTTAAATATTTTAAATTGTTAATTATTGTGATTCATAGTACTTTTTAAGTAGTTTCTAAATATGTGAATTTTATTTATTTTTTTAAAAAAACTTAAAGATTATGAATTTTCACCGAAATTTAGATATGATTGACTTTTGCATTCTGAATCGCATCACGTAAAGTGGGACGGATGGAATAGTAAGTAGTAACTCATAGAGATATTTTTGCTAATGTATTGAGCTACGTACTGCTACAAGAATTGACAAATATATGGAGTGAAATTTACCTATAGATAAAACTAGCAAATGAAGAAGTATGTTGATTTGTTAATGCAGGAGAATGGTGGAATGCCAATGTTGTGGACGTGGAGAATGAAGGACTAGCCAGTGGTGCTGCACCTAATAACTCTGATGCTTACACCATTAATGGATGGCCAGGCGATCTTTACCCTTGCTCTGTTAATCGTAAGAATTACATACTAATCAGATTTTCTTAATTAATTTGTGATTTTTTTCTATTTTCTCTTCTTGCTAACTTGGATTTTCCGTTTTTTATTTTTATTAGAAACATACAAGTTGACAGTGAAACAAGGGAAAACATATCTCCTTCGTATCATCAATGCTGCACTCAATAACCAGCTCTTTTTTAAGATCGCAAACCATAAAATGAAAGTTGTCGCGGTTGATGCTGCTTATACTGATCCTTACATTACGGACGTAGTCGTCACCGGACCAGGTCAGACGACCGACGTCCTCTTGACGGCCGATCAAGCGCCGGCGTCGTACTACATGGCGGCTAACCCCTACGCTAGTGCAGCCGGGGTACCATTTGACAACACAACCACAAGAGGAATTATAATATATGAAGGTGCACAAACATCAAATCCAATAATGCCAATTTTACCAGCCTTTAATGACACGCCAACAGCCCATAAATTCTTCACCAATATAACTGGGCTTGTAACTGGGCCATTTTGGATCCCTCCACCTCGTAAAGTGGATGAGCACATGTTTATTACTATTGGGCTGGGCCTAACTGCTTGTAATAGACCAGGAAATGCAACATGTGGAGGCCCAAATGGACAAAGATTTGCTGCTAGTATGAACAATGCATCTTTCCAATTGCCTGACAAGATTTCAATGTTGGAGGCATTTTTCCACAACGTGAATGGAGTTTACACTACTGATTTCCCTAACCAACCACCACTGAAATTTGACTACACAAATTCTAATAATAGCATGAATCCTGCTATTATAATGACTACAAAGTCTACTAAAGTGAAGAAAGTTAAGTTCAATGCCACAGTTGAGATTGTGTTCCAAAATACTGCTTTGATTGGGATAGAAAATCATCCTATTCATCTGCATGGATTTAACTTCTATGTCTTGGCTCAAGGATTTGGAAATTATAATCCCGCAGTTGATCGGAAAAAATTTAACCTTTTCAATCCTCAAGAACGTAACACAATTGGTGTTCCAGTCGGAGGATGGGCTGTCATTAGATTCCGAGCTAATAATCCAGGTACATATATAATGCATTCATTAACTTGATATTGAAATTATATTCTTGAATCGATGGTCTATCAGAAATATCATCTCTACCGACACCAGGTAGACCCCACTTATAGGATCATATTGACTATCTTGTTGATTTTTTAGGTGATGATTGATTGTTTTAATTGTTAATTTGGAAATTGTAGGTGTATGGTTGATGCATTGTCATTTGGATGTTCACTTGCCTTGGGGATTAGCTACATCTTTTGTTGTTGAAAATGGGCCAACACCATCAACTAGGCTACCTCCTCCACCACCAGATCTACCTAAATGCTAGATTATTTCCTTTTTATTTATTTTTATTAGGATACCAGAGTGTGATTATATGATTCTTGGTTTGTTTCATTCTTCCAATTGTATAAGCGAGTCATTTGTTTTTCTGGTCATTCTTTGACTTGTTAAACAAACATGGTTGTATTTAGTTATCATCATTCTTTAAGATTTATGTTAAGTGTAATGTATCATCCTTGCCTGAGATTGCTCTTTGATTATGAATAAAGTTACTGTCTTTGGGATTCCTGCTAAACTCGAAGTAGTTAAATTGCTTTCAACTCTCTTTTATACATTTCATTGCCAGATAAACGAAAGCCTTGATGTAACTGGTAAAGTTGCTGCTATGTGACCAAGAGGTCACGGGCTCGAGCCGTGAAAACAGCCACTTGCAGAAATGCAGGATAAGGGTACGTACAATAGACCCTTGTGATCCGGCCTTCCCCGGACACCGCGCATAGCGGGAGCTTAGTGCACCGGGCTGCCGTTTTTATTGCCAAACAAAGGGAAGCTTCGATTTTCTATAGATAAAACTTGGGTGCAGACTAGCAAAAACAGCAGTAGCAAGACTGCATTGTAGTAGTCCACTAAGTATAATTTCACATCAGAATCCAAAATCCAAATCAGCTACTAATTCCACTTCCAATAGGATATGATCATAGAAATTGAATTTCATCTAGGGCCATCGTGCAACATTATTATACTTAAAGAAGTTCTTTTGACATGTGATGATTTCAAAATAAAAGAGGAGAATGAGCTGCCTCTCGAATTCAGAGAAATTTTCTCAAAAACCCATTTTGGAGCCAACTCTTATCCATTTCTACCTTTTTTTCCTTCTCTATACGAACTACAGATTTCAGAGGTGGTCCTTTCAATATGAAATTAATTGAAGGATTCAACAAGGCCACAGGCACCTCAAATTCATCTGTCTTTTACACATAAGAGATCTAAAAAGGTCATTTTCTTTATTTTAAAACTGTAAAGGGGCATTATGTACAAATAGCACACTTAGGAGCATGAACGTGCAAAATTTAATAACCCCTCATGCTTCCTTCTCCTTATTCAAGAATGCAACTCCCCAAAGAAAAACAATCTCTTTTTTAAAAGAGATAATACATAAATTACCCATCAACCTTGTCCGGAAAAATCATTTACACACCTTAACTTTACTGACGACATATGTCCCCCCTATTCTTGTTTGGGGTGAATTTAAGACCACCCTAAATGGTGACGTGGCAAAGAGAGTAGCTTCACTCTCCCAATCTCGCGTGTAAGAGGGAAAAATTTTTACTGTGTGGGCCCCTTTTTCGTTTACTTCTTTTTTCTTATTTTTTCTCTTTTTGTTTTGTCTCTCCACCTTTTCTTCTTCCTCTCACAATTGCAAAAATCATTTTTTTTTAAAAAAAATATTTTTTTGTAAAAACATATTTGTAAAAATTGATTTTTTTTTTGTAATAACAGAATTTTTTTTTCAGTTTTTAATAAAATATTTTCGTTTTTTAAAAACTGAAAAAATATTTTCAACAAATTATTTTCGCTTTTGAAAAAAGTTTTTTTTCTTCATTTTTTCAGTTTTTTAAAGATTTTTTTTGCAAAAAATGGAAAAACAAACTTGTAAAAACTAATTTTTTTTTTGTAAAAACAGAAAAAAATCATTTTTTAACAAAATATCTTTGTTTTTTAAAAACTGAAAAAATTATTTTCAACAAAATATTTTCGTTTTTGAAAAATATTATTTTTATTTTTTCAGTTTTTTAAAANTTTTGAAAAATATTATTTTTATTTTTTCAGTTTTTTAAAAGAATTTTATTTTGTAAAAACTGAAAAAACAAATTTGTAAAAACTATTTTTTTTTTTGAAAAAACTGAAAAAAAAAATCGTTTTTAATAAAATATCTTTGTTTTTTAAAAACTGAAAAAATTATTTTCAACAAAATATTTTCGTTTTTGAAAAATATTATTTTTATTTTTTCAGTTTTTTAAAAGAATTTTATTTTGTAAAAACTGGAAAAACAAATTTGTAAAAACTATTTTTTTTTGTAAAAACAGAAAAAAATCGTTTTTGAGCAGATATTGACACGTGGCGCGCGTGTACTACACACCCCACCACAAGACTGACTAAGTGTTACCAATGGGGTATTAAATTCACCCCAAACAAGAATAGGGGAGACATAGGTCGCCCGTAAAGTTAAGATGTGTAAATGATTTTTCCGGACAAATTTGATGGGTAATTTATGTATTATCTCTTTGTTTAAAATAAATTATCATCATCACCCAAGATTTCAGGGTGAAGGTTTTAG